CGTTTGAGATGTTATATGGTCGGAAGTGTAGGAACCCGGTTTGTTGGGATGAGGTTGGGCACCGGGTCATGGGGAGCACCGAGGTAGTGCTCAAGACCACCGGATTGATTCAGCAGGTGCGCGACCGGTTGTGGGTCGCGCAGAGCCGTCAGAAAAGCTATGCCGACCGACGACGATCAGATCTTGAGTTTCAGGTAGGGGATTTCGTGTTGCTGAAGGTTTCGCACTGGAAAGTGATCATCAGGTTTCGGAAGAGGGGCAAACTGGGGCCTCGGTTTATAGGCCCGTTTAGGATCACGGCCCGGGTGGGCAAAGTGGCATATCGATTGGATCTGCCAGAGGAGCTTAGCTAAATTCACAACACGTTCCATGTGTCGCAACTTCGGAAGTGTGTCACAGACGAGGCTGCGGTTGTCTCATTGGGTGATATCCAGGTGGATGAGAGCTTGAACTACATCGAGAAGCCTGTTGCCATCTTGGATAGGAAGACGAAGGCTCTTCGGAATAAGGAAGTAAGACTGGTGAAAGTGCAATGGCAACATCGGAAGGGCTCCGAATGGACTTGGGAACCGGAAGAGGAGATGCGAGATCATTACCCCAATTTGTTTGAGTCAACAGAATTTGAGGACGAAGTCTAGTTCAAGTGGGGGAGACTTGTAACACCTGGTTTGAATTGGAAAGGATTTAAGCATGGACTCGGCGAGTTGGGAGGTTAACTCGTCAATTAGGGTCGTGAGATCATGAAACGCGGAACGGGACCGACTCGGCGAGTCGAAGGTCGACTCGGCGAGTCCGAGCTGTTTAAAGAAAACCCTAAATTTTAGGTTTGCCCCCTATATAAACGTCATTATCCGCCCCAGTAGCCTCCCTTAGCACCATAGAAGAATGTTTACGGCCGCACACCCTATTGTGTGTGAAGTAAGATCAATTGGGAGCTTATCCTTGAGATTTTGGGGAGGATTCCAAGTTTGAAGAGGAAGTATCAAGGGAGAAGTATTAGATCAAGCATCTATTTCGTCCTAGGCATTAAATTGAGGTATGAATCTGTTACCTTGAGCTTAAATTCTATTTGAGAATTGTGACCAACTTTGAGGAAATAGAAGCAACCATGGATCTGGACCTATCACAAGGATATGGTTCCAGATCTGGACCTTCTTAGGTCCCAAACATCATAAAGTTGCATCTTTTATTAAGCCCCTTTCCTCTCCATGCATGAAAACCTTGTTTGAAGGTTAGTTTTGGGGATTATGGCCATGTGAGGCTTTGCATGCACGTAAAGTTTGCAACTTTACATGTTATCCACATTAGTAGAGTGTAGATCTGAAGTTTGGGACCTTGAGTCCCACTGGAAGAGGCCGTAAACATAATGGACTAATAGGGACTCGGCGAGTCGTGCTAGAGACTCGGCGAGTCGAGAGGGTTTACGGCCAAGGGTGTACGGTTGGTGGTTTACGGCCGTAAACATCAAGGAACTCGACGAGTCCCTCGGGTGACTCGGCGAGTCGATGAGTTAAGCAGGGAACCCGACGAGTGAATGATTGTACTCAGCGAGTCAAGGTCAATATGGACTGTTGACCTTGAGACTTTGACCAGGGTTGACCCTGGGGGTATTTATGGGATTATGCTGAGTTATTTACTCATTGATTATAAGCAGTTGGGAAGAGCAACATAGGGCATACCTGAATTCAGTTGGCGATTCAGCTTTGTGAGGTGAGTTTTCTCACCATACCAATGGGTCTAAGGCACCAAGGCCGACCCATTTTGTGATAGTTGATTTACTTGTTATGTAGAGTTGTGATATGTATGTATGCATGATATGTGGTAGAGATAGCCTTCGTAGTTAACGGTAGAGATAGCCTTATGGCTAATGGTAGAGATGGCCTTATGGCTAATGGTAGAGACAACCTTTATCGCTGATGGTAGAGATAGCCTTTGTGGCTAACAGTAGAGATAGCTTCATGGCTAATTGACATGTGTTAAGTGGTAGAGGTAGCTTCATAGCTAATGTGATATGTGGTTTGTGTGGGGTATGCTCTGGGGGGGCTCACTAAGCTTTCAGCTTACCGTTTGTGGATTTGTTTTAGGTACATCGGAGCCCAAGGGTAAAGGCAAGACGTGATGATGCGGCGTGCACTGTATCTCTCTTTTCCGATCTGGTTTGGGGGACACTCTGATGTTTGAAAATAATAATGTTGTAATGTTGGTGGTTTTGAAAACAGTTATTGGAATCTTTATGTTTTATGAAAAATGGTTGACATTAAAAATGAAAATTTTCTTTGTAAAATTTGGGTCGTTAAAGTCCAGCCAAGGCGACCTACTCATTTCTTGCTAAGTTCGAGAATCGATCGATTTTTGAAGCCAGTCATGAACAAGAACCCATCAATTTCTGAAACAATCGGTCAAGATTAACCCTTACGAAACCATCAATCTCTAAAACCATTCATATTAGGAGTTGTTTCGTGCAAAGGGCATGATTGGAACTATGCTAGTAAACTTTTGATGAGGACTTTCATTTGGTTTTTTGTAAGTAAAATCTAAATTCATCTGGACATTGAAGAAGAAAGAACACATGGAGAAAGAGAGAGAGAGAGAGAGAGAGAGAGAGAGAGAGAGAGAGAGAGATGGGGGAAGGGGGAATGGAGACATTTGTGGGAAACCTCAAACAACAAACATGAAATGGAACAATAAAAGGTTTGTGGATAAAGTTTTGATTTTTAATTATGTAAAAAAAACCCCACATATATTATGTTTTACCGGTGAAACTAGAATTTTATCGGATGGTTTCTCTATTTAACATGTGAACTGATACTTTAGAGATCAATTGAACAAACAAAAACTTTAGTGACTAAATGTGTAAATTCGTCAAAGGTTGTTATGCTACCGTAACAATTTCCTATCATTTTAATAGATTTTACCAGCTACTTATATTTATTTTTCCCATAAAAACTCATATTTGACTTTTTTGTTTGGAACATATTTTTGACTCACAATTTTTTTTTTATTTGTGTTGGTGTTTTTATGTTTATGGTGTTTTTGATTGAGAAAGATGGAAGTTCGATTGTATATGTGATTGCTAACTTAGAAACTAAAAGTTTCGAGTAAGCTAACTTTGATACAATTGTATCACAAATTGTTCCATGTTACTAATTTGGAGACTAAAGATTGTATGTTTGCTAACTGGAATTTTACATTTGTTCGCTGAAAGCTATGTGTCCATTAATTTCAAAATAAATAACAATATTGTAATGTCAAGGAAATCTAATGAATCTAATGAAATTATTATTGATCAAACCACATGAAAACTAAAATTAGAATTCCAAACATAAATTGGATTTCAAAGGTGTTGTTATGTTTGATTTTGAATAAATATCTAACATATCATGTCAATCTAAAATGTTGATCTTCACCCACAATTTAAGTTATAAATAAACTAAGTTCTATCAACCAAAACATGTACTAATCGCCATTTTATCAACCATTCATGTACTAATTTTATCAAATCCATGACAATTGTTGTAAAAACACACTTCATGCTAAAACATGTATTAATTGTCATTTTATCAACAAAACCATGAATCACAAGAAGTAGACAACAATCGGTTCTTGAAACCATTGTCAACGTAACTTACTTACAAAAAGACATTAACAAATTAAGTGAAATAATTATCCAAGTTCCAATATAAATGTTAAACAAAGCAATCTTTACATTTTTGGGACCTTCCTTGATTGCATCCTCACTCCCTTTACTAGAGTCCTCACTAAAATATGACAATGTCAAAATTGTTGTCATAAGTACCAATACCTCTACCACAAAAATGGTCATACATAACAATTGCTTTGGAATTGCCACATTCTTTAGGAACATGTAACTCTTCAGTAAAACAATTAAACAAACATGGTCGGTCATGTTCAGTGTAGACTTTGATTTCATTGTGTTTTGCAACAAAGTTGGAAATAGCAATGACATCATCTTCATTGTCTAGGTTATAAGTCCATAGTCCAAATTGTCATGTAGAATCATGAAATAATAGGAATTAAGGGTACCTTATCACAACTTAGTTATTTCATCATCATTTGAAGGTCCTACATTGAAAAGTCTTCGATGTCAATGATATCAAACAGTCCACATGACATGACGATTCAATATATCTTCTTCTTGATAAGGACATGAACATCCCACCATGATGCCTTTTGTGCCGCATGTATATCTTATCCTTCAGTAAAAACCAAAATATAAATAAATAGAGAACAACAAACACAAATTCAAATGTAACAAGGAATAAAACAAATTGTAGATACGATTGATCTCTACGTCAAAAATTTTGCTTCGCATACTACGTACATTGTGGTGATGAAGATTATCAATAACAAAGGTATGCATGCTCTTTCAATCGGATGAGTACCACTTAAGTATGGTTTTATCGAACTTTTTTAATGTTAACTAAATGGATCATCCAAATTCACAAGGGAGATGAAAAGGGTAACTGAAATTGCCAAAATACCTTCATGTGCCTTGCACATGAGGGGGCTTAAGAGCTGCAACATACTGGTCGTTAGGTCGTTAGGTCAAGAGACCAAAACTGCAACGAAACTATAGATTAGATACCAAAACTACAAGAAACAAATATTGTGGACTCAAGGTGATACTTTCGGGAAACCACATGGACAAAACTTGTAAATTACTCTTAATTTTATAATCATTAGACTTCGGTGTTTTTTGGAGAAGGTTCTTTTAGAAGGGAACTTGGCTTTTACTAGTGTTACACTCATACACATTAATAATTAAGAAGATACAATTGGTGTTGTACGTATTATGTTATGTTTGTATGAATTGATATTTAATATGATTAATTGATGACACACACCATTATTATATAAACCCTAATCCTATTGACTTGTGTTGTGCATCTGTTAAACAAATATTTCTTTACTGACCCCATCAGAACAAGTCTCTTGCCAACCTGCAAACCCACCAAACAAGATTGTCCATTTAACAGCACACACACACATAGATAGACACACACACAGAGAGGAGAGAGATTTTGCTCTGGAAAAGGCCAATTTCTAAGTGAGATACGTATAAACATAAGTAGAGAGAGAGAGAGAGATGGGAAGGGCTCCGTGTTGTGACAAAGAAAATGTAAAGAGAGGGCCATGGTCTCCTGAAGAAGACGCAAAACTCAAAAGCTTCATCGACAAATATGGCACTGGTGGTAACTGGATTGCTCTCCCTCACAAAGCTGGTAATTAACCCCCACTTCTCTTTCTCTTTCTTTCCAACTTTTAGTGTTTCTTGAAAAAAAATTATTGAAGGGTTTTATTGTTGTTCTTGGCTGATGGATTTGAGCCTGCAGGCCTAAAAAGATGTGGAAAGAGCTGCAGATTGCGATGGTTAAACTATCTGAGGCCCAATATTAAGCATGGTGAATTCACTGATGATGAAGACAAGATCATCTGCAGCTTGTATGCTAGCATTGGTAGCAGGTATCACTTACCTTCATATGATCTATCTTGGATCCTTGCTTTTGCCAAATTCGATTTTCAAATTAACACTAATCTAAATGGTTATCTTATCAATAGTCTGTGTTCTTTTTCTTGGATATATAGCATCATCGATCTGCTGCATTTGAAAGCAGACCTCCATAAAAACCTAAACAGGAGAAAAACACATAAGACTATGTGTGTGTGTGTGTGTGAGAGAGAGAGAGAGAGAGAGAGAGAGAGAGAGATTTTAGAAAAAGAGTTTGCAAATTTAAGAATTATGCATGCATGCCAATATGATATGATCTGTCTTCCATATAGTATAATTTAGTTCTTGTTCTCATTCGGTGAAAACATTTCTTCCTTCTTACAATTTGAAATTTTTCAATATCTATATGCAGATGGTCAATAATAGCAGCTCAGCTACCAGGAAGGACTGATAATGATATAAAGAATTACTGGAACACCAAACTCAAGAAGAAGCTCTTGGCTATGCTTCCTTCCTTTCAAAAGAAGGCATCTTTTTTTCCATCTATATCCCTCCAATCACCATCACCATACAGATCAGATCAGTTCGTGACCAATAATTCTTCCCTTTTCTACGGTTGCACTAATTTCATGAACATGAACAACAATATCAACTCTCTGCTGACACCTACCACCACCACCACCGGTGTTCAAGATCATATCACTCATCTGATCTCACCATCACCACCACCACCAGGAGCCGATCTAAACTCTTTAATCGGTTTGATGACCAACAACATTGACAACAATGAGAATTCTTTCTATTTAGGGTATCAGGAAAATCATCAGAGCATGTACAATACCCCCATGGAATACCACTACCCTACATCAGATGTGAAAGAACCGATGCTCATTTTTGGAAGTGGTGGTGAGGGTCATGAAGTGAGCACCACTGGTTCTTCCTCTGAAGCTGGGAGTTCTTTGAGTCAAATCAGCTATGAAAACTTTAGTAAAGATCATTATGACAAGCAACATCAGCATCCGATCAAACAAGAAGGATTTACCCTTCAGGGTTTTAGAGATCACAACCAGAGTTTCATCATTAACCATGACTACACAGGTCAGAAACAAAAAGTGTACAGTTTAATGAACTATGAAAGCCCATTGCATAGTGATCTGGAGGAAGTGAAGCAACTCATTGGTAACACAAACAGCAGCAGCAGCAGTTACCTGTTCAATGATGATGATGAATACAAGACAACAGATGATCGTAGGGAGATATGCTATCATTACTAATGGGTACATTTGTAATTAAGGGAGAAGAAACAGACGACAGACTTTGAGACAGTTTCTTGGGGGTTGTGCTGATTGTAGTGGAAATCAATGTAAAAAATCGCAAAAAAGAAAGAAAGTGCTTTCTTTGTTTTCAATATCTTTCTGTGTGACAGTACATGTACTAGCTTTTCTTTTTGTGCATTTCTTCTTGGGGTTATGATAAATGGTCCTATTCTGTCAGTAGCTAACCCCACTCCAATTTTGGATTCAAGAGAAACAAACTCCAGTCGACACAGTTGATATATAAAATCTTTATACTTGACTCTTGTTTCTTTGTGTAATTAAGAATATTTTCTTTTTCTAAAACTTTTCTGATTATTTCACTGATCCCAATCTCAGATCTGTGACCTACAATCCATCTTTTTTGATTAAGCATTAATAAACATTGGATCTAATTGTTTCTTTTGAAAAAAAAAAATCAAATGTCACCTAAAACCGAGCAAATTCCCATGAAAGAGTAAAACAAGATGGGGAAAAATCTTTTATTGCTTGCAACCCTTGTAATTAATCAAGAGGCTATCCATGAAGCTGTAAGCATTAAAGCAACCTCAGCTGGACTAAGTTATCTAATTTCTACTTTGTATGTTTTAGTCAATAATGGCGATTTAATATGATCATGTATGTATAATGTATCTCACTTGTAGTAACCCCATCTTTTCATAATGTATACGTTGTATGTTCTGTGTATCCCTAAAGAATATGACATTGAAATTGAACCAGCAATTTAACACATTAATTTTGCATGGTATATAAACAAATAGTTGACCTATCTTGATTTTGTGTGTATCTGGCAAGTGTACAACTATACTGTATTATTCATAGAGCAAACTGCAATCGATGTTGACTAATTTAACTTAGGCGAGATATGACCTATCCCATATGAGTTATGACAGTGATACGTTTTTTTTTTTTTTTTGTTTTGTTTTGTATTGTATTTTTGAACGGCTATATGATAGTGAAAGATAAGTAATGATCAAGGTTCCAACATGCTCTCTATTTTTTTTATCTAGCTTGCTATTTGTAGTATTTTCTTGAAAGGCGTTAATTTTAGGGATATGTATACACAAAAGTCCCAATATTTTTATCGATTTGACAAAAAAATTCTAAACTTTATTTTTTTTGACAGTAAAGTCCAAATTACCGGCAATTTTTAACACTTTTACCCTTTTTTCTCGGTTAGCCGGTAATTAGGATTTTTTTTGTCAAAAATATAAAGTTTAGGACTTTCTTGTCAAATCGTGAATTAAGACTTTACTGTCAAAAAAATAAAGTTTAGGACTTTCTTGTCAAATCGATGAAAATAATGGGACTTTAGTGTATAAATCCCTTTTTTTTGTTAGAAATTGAATGGTATGATACTCTTTAAGCATAAGAGTTATTGAAACATTCTCTAGTCAGCTAGATGCTATTGAAATCTTTAACGTTTGCTTCTTGTTTAATAGTTTTTTAATCTCAACAAACCTACATTGAAAAAAAAAATGGAGATAATCAAGAAAGAAAGAAAGAATCAGGGTTGTGTTGGCTTTTTGCAGTCCCAAAAATGGAGACCAAGAAACCAAAAAAAAAACAAAAACAAAATTGCCCTTCGTACCCCTTATCCACATTCACACTCTTTTGACTAGGCATGTGTTGTTTGTGTTTGTATAATCTGTCTCTACTTTTTAGCTCAAGATTTGGCGGTGAAGCAAGAAGAAAGTTTTACAAGTCTTTTTACCATTTCTCGCTCTCTCTTTTGCATCTGTTTCTCCTGATCGTGATTGTATTAAGTTAAATAAGATGATGGCAAGAAAAAATAGTGGTGCTGCAACAAAAGTCACAATTAAAAGTTCTTGGGTTACGAAAATACACTAAAGTCCTAATATTTTCAACGATAAGACAAAAAAGTCTTAAACTTTATTTTTTTGACAGTAAAGTCATAATTCAAGATTTTACAAGAAAGTCCTAAACTTTATATTTTTGACAAAAAAGTCCTAATTACCGGCTAACCGGAAAAAAGGGTAAAAGTGTCAAAAATTGCCGGTAATTTGGACTTTACTGTCAAAAAAATAAAGTTTAGGACTTTTTTATCAAATCGATGAAAATATTGGGACTTTAGTGTATATATCCCGTAATTTTATTAAGAAAAAATAGCTAACTAGACCTATTCGTATTAACCTGCTATGTCCTAAAACCGATATAACATTTTTTTGGTGGCACCCTTTTAACCCCAAATCATCATGTTTTCTCTCACTAATCGTCACAAAATGATTATTACAATGAATTGGTTCTCAAAACTTTAACTCTATCGAAAAATATTTTGAATATTTGACATAACACTTGAACATTTTTGGTTAAAAAATTTCAAGTTCTATTAGTATATGATCTTAAATTGACTTTTTAAATGTCATCTTCAATTTGCATTGGTCAAATGTGGATATGTAATTTAAAACAGTGTATGTAAAAAGAGAGAGAGAGAGAGAGAGAGAGAGAGAGAGAGAGAGAGAGATGGAAATAATGAATTAGATGTGTTGGCATAAAGAGGTTTGAAAAAAAACAACAATCAACTATTGATTTATATTATAACTAGGCGAATCCCCGCGCGTTACGCGAAAATAGAATTATATAGTTAAAATAATAACTTTTATCAAATTATTATTTAATATTTCTACTTTGAAACAAAATGTTAGTAGTAAAGCAAACATATAGTTAACATATTAGTTTTATTAAACATTATAGTTTAATTTTTAAGTCATTGTGATATATACAATTATAATTTTATAAACTGTTTAAAATTGTGTAAATTATATATCAAATGAATGATAATATAACAGGTAACAAAACGTATGAACAAAAATATGAACTACAACTTTTAGTAACATAAAAAATAGAAAAACATCTATTATAACATTTGTATTAAAAAAGATATATATACAACGAATAATAAAAAATATGAAAAATAAACACTATAACTTTTAATAACATAAAAACACTAAAACATCTATTATAACATTTATATTAACTCTTCATATTTAAATCACAAATCTTTTCAAATACATTAATGTTTTTAATGAGCAAAACTTTACAACCTTATAAAAGAAAGGAAAATAAAAAGTTATCAGTGATTACTAATTAATAATCATAAGTTAACAACTCTTGAGTTGTAACTAATAAATATATATAAATTAGAAAACTCTTGAGTTGTAGTGTGAGTTTCAAATGAATGCGGTACTTGGAAATGTATATTTATTATTATTATTATTATTATTTATTATTATTATTATTATATTCGTCTAAATAATTGGTTTTGATGCATCATTTTAATCCCTTTAATTATTAAACATAAAGATATTTAATTATAAATTTATAACATACATTGGTGCATATATATGTTAAACAAATCACATATATATTTTCGTAAATGTCATATGTAATTTTTGTCGTAGTAATATGGATAAATTACTTTCATATGAAGAACATATAATGATAAGTCTATCATAATTACATATCAAATGTTCAAAATTATGTTATCTTTTAAATACTGTCTTTTAAATATGTTGTGTAGGATAACCCAACAAAAAAATAATAGAAAATAAACATAATCAAAATAGAAAAACTACAATCAAATAAATAAGAGCATTGGGTGGTTGAATATATAAATAAAGATGTTACATAAACATACATTTAAATCAAAAGAAAAAACTAACATTCGTCAACTTTTCTCAAACAAAAAAACCTATATTTATTTTATGAATCTTCTTTCTTCATTTAACACCATTCAACCATAGAAACTTGATGACAATTTTTCACTAACCTGCAATCAAAATATTTTTATTGAAAAAGAAGAATCAGAAAGATATTCCAAGCAAAACATTGATGTTTGGAGAGTCACATTCAAGATTGAGTAATACACACAAATCACATGTAAATATTAAATGAGAAACTGAACATAAAGAAAGAATAGAAAAGCTTCATTTGGTTTGGTTGAAAGAAAAAATCATATTACAATTACCATCGATGCGACATAACCCATTTTTTCAAATCATCATATTTGGATCGTGAATGCTTCAACTATATGAAAACTTTTGAATCACAATATCTTCAAATCCTTCTTACATGTAAGATTTTATATAACACAAAAGACACAAAAGATTGACCTTTTTATAGTAAACTTTTCACTAAATATTAATTAAACATAATATAAGTTATAAAACTTTTGAGTGTTAAATCATAATTAAGAAAATTTTTGAGTTGCATTAGTTAAAAAATGGGGTTTCAAATGAATGTGGTTTGAGGAAGTTAAAAAAGGGGGTTTCAAATGCATGAGATTCAAGAAAAAATGTTAGCTTTATAAGTATGTATGATGTAATGAACAATCCGAGGCCACATTTATAGCTACTATAACTTAAACTTGTTTATTGACAAGTATTTTCTTTGTATATATATATATATATATATATATATATATATATATATATATATATACTAGGTTAAACCCGTGGAACCACGGGTAAAAAAGAAAAACATTATTGATAATTTAAAATAATAACAAAAAATTGAAAGATTTACATAATTTTATTAAATTACAAAGATATAAGCCTTATCTATAAGTTTATAATGATTAGTTAAAATTAATATATACATTATTTTGAATATCATCATTTTTTTCTTAGCACCAACAATACCAGCCACTCTCCAAAATCCTTTGAAATAAAACATTTTAAAGTTATTTGAACAATTTTTTTTGTATTTGTGAATTGAGATTGTGGTTTTGCCATACTTTGAAAATTTATTTACGTTTGGAACTGATTTATATAGTATAATCTTTAGTTAATTTATTGATTTTTTTGATTTTAAATGGGTTAATCGAAGTTTAACTCATTTAATTAATATATTGTGTTGAAAACTACATAAATAGATCAACCCAATGACAACCCACTTATCTAAATGGTTTGGTTGGGTCAGAAATATCAACCCATTTAAATAAATAGGTTGGATTTGATTGAAATTTTCAACCCAATTAATAAATAGGTTGAACTCGAATCCAACCCAGATCGACTCATTGTCAGCTCTAAAATACGTATATTCATTTTCACAATGGAAACTAA